AAGTTGAGAGATATTAATCGCAGCTTTCTTCAAATATATAATTAAACTTTGTTTTTTTTCTCATTTAAATACAAACGCAGTATATATTAAACGATAAAATGATGGAGAATCATTAAATCATTAAAAACCTATTAATATTCAATAGATACAGTCTCTGAAAAATCTTTTAGACAACGAAACGCAAACTATTATTAAAAATATTTAATGGCATATAAGCGCTCTAATAATATGTTATTGATAATAAACCGCACAAATTGCAAAAAATGGATTAAAGCATGAGCTTTGCACATATATACACATACACGCTCATATACGCAGATACACATGCGAATGCGCATGCGAAGGAACCGAAAGATTTAATTACCTCCAAACATTGATAATTATAGCTTTAAACAAAGAGACCAAGTAATTAACGAAGAGTTCATATTCTCTTACGAAAAAGGCAGTCTTAGAGAAACCCGAATAGAGGAACCCGAATTACGCAATTTTGCAAAGGAAAGATATATCCATCTATTGTTACTGTATCCTCTGTATGTATATATATGTATATGTATATGTATGTATATATGTATTTAAAAATATATATATATACACACACATATATTTGTATGTAGACTAGAATTCTGATCATATTGATCTAAATTCTAATCAATGGTGTATTGTGTGATCATGTGCTCGATCGATCGAGGGTGCGGATGAGAGCTGTAAGCTCTACGTGTGTTTACTTGAATGTAAATCCCTGCTATGTAGTCCCTTAAATCAAAGGCCCCGCGAAGTGTGAATAATGATAGAGGATGCTCTGCCATCGTACCTAGCAGGCAATTTAGCCATTAAATGATAAATGTCACCGTTATCAGACAAGTGTTAGCGTATAAGTTATAGCAACGATCATCCCTCTAGCGACAACCTCAGATCAGAAATTATAAAGATGTTCGAAATACTAATATTCTAATAGGATAATAGAGAGGGAATAATGAGTCTCCCGCAACTATGAGCTCGAGATGTTCTGTGTTCCTCGCAGAAGATTATTTTTAACAGATTTACGAAGCTATTTTCCTAACAAAGTCACGCGTCAAATAATCATCCCCCTCGATCTTCGGATCCTCGTTACATGCGCACCCTCCGTCATCGACGCGCTTTAAATGCCTAAGGACCTTATCAAACTTAGCAATGCATGATCAACGACGATCACTATGATCACCCACGTGACAACGATGCTCCCGGCTTTTTCTTTCCTCGACGTGCGAGACGACGACGCGGGCAGAAGGCGGGCAAGGCAATTACGTTTGCATTTACCAATTCGATGTACATTTGCATGTAAATATCTCTCTATATATTCGTCAGGTCAAGTTAAAAAAAAAAAAAAACGAATGACGGAAAAAAGAGGGAAAAAGGAAAATCCTCGCCGT